AGGGGCAGTACCTGCCTATCTGTTGGACAGAGAGGGGCAGTCCCGAGCTAAAGTACTTTCCAACATGATTAAACAAAAACGCAAAGAGAAAGCGGTAAGCAGCCAGAACAGAAGTTTCTGTTGCTTGTTCATGTAAGAGAATTAGTTAAACTGAGATGTTAGGTTCATTGTTTTGTCTGTTTAATTTGGAATACGAAATCCAACAATATTTTTTTATTGCATCTTCAAGGATTTTTCTATATGTATCTCTGTATGGTATATTCACGTCAGCCACCTTTCCAACAGAGAATTTTAGTTATTTGAGTTTGTTTCCTTTTAAAATGTCAATATTACTCATTTAAAAAAAATATTTAAAAGCAGAAAGATTGTGAATAAGCAGTGGATATCAGATTTAATATTTAATGACTACTTTTCAGTATTTGCAGTATTAGTGCTAAAAGGGAGCTCTGGTGGTCTGGTCCATTGGGAGTTGCACTGCGAACTCAAAGATTGCGCCTTTCCACCAGCAGATCTTTGAGGGAAAGATGGGTAATGTTCTCCGTGTCATTTATAGGCTCCAAAAACTTGATGAGAGGGTCACCTGAGTCAGTTCTGTCTTGACAGCAGTGATTACCACCCCACCCCACCCCACCCCCGCCCCAAGTACTATGTTGTGAAGAAACCTTCAACTACTTCTTTTAGGGGGTTCTAGTTGCCTACTGGTAAGAAACTCCACAGGAGAAGGATGGGCAGACTCCTCCGATGCGATTAACTGCCTCTGAAAACCCACCATAGGGTCAGCTATGGATACACAACAAAAACGATTTTGTGTTACCTATTTTTTCTCTCACTCTTTGTTGTGTATCACCCTCTAGTGTGATCTCTTCAGAGTGGTCAGTTGTGGTGTTGATTCTTGTTCTGTGCCTTCAAGTTGACTACAACTCCTAGCGACCCTGTGAACACTGGATCTGAATCTTGCCCTATGCTGTACCATCCTCATCAGCTCTGATACACTTGAACCTATTGTTAAAGTCACTGTGTCATTCCATCTTGTGAGAGGCTTCCGTTCTTATGCTGACCTCTTTACCTTCCAAACGTGTTCCTTTTTTAAGGACTGATCCCTTCTAACAACATGCCCCAAGTATGATATGAAGCTTTACCATCTTTAGCTCCAAAGAGCAGCCTAGTAGCCAGGTGCTGTTTCATTTTAATGTCAGGGTTGTGGAGGTTGAGGTTCAACATGATCCATTAGTCCTTTGGTATAATTGTTGGCATGCCTCTTTTCGATTTACTAGTTACATCCTAGATGGCTGCTCACAAGCTTTTAAGACACCAACACCAATTACAGCTCACTGAGTAGAATATAGAACATTTTTTTTGTGAACTGTATTAGGCCACTTGACTTTGATGTCCCCCATGATGGTGGTCCTGGCAAGCCATTTTATTGGATGTATTCATGATATATAAGTAAAGAGAGAACAGTTTGCAAGCAAAGGTCAAAGTATTTAATTTGTGTAAAAATAGCATAATTTAAATTTTGGGCTTTTGAGGAAACATTGTGAACTCCTATAAAACTTTTGACTCAAAAAGTGTATTAAATGGTTAAAACCAAAGTAACTACTCTTTTTTTTTTAAAATATATATTTCTGTGTGTATATTGTCAAATCGGATCTGAGTGGTGCAGGAGGAGATTGTCCCTCCTCCAAACTCGACTACTTTATACAATTAAAACATGTATTTTAATTGTTCAGTGGTGGTATTGTCGGCTGCTCTTGAGTCAACATGACTCTAGTATAACATTAAATTTTAACTGGTTTGGGGTTGGTTTGTGTTTTTCTTTTAAGGGAAAATGGGAAGTCCCTCTCCCCAAAGTTCGTGCCCAGGGCGAAACAGAAGTACTGAAAGTTATTCGAACAGGAAAGAGAAAAAAGAAAGCCTGGAAGAGGATGGTTACTAAAGTGTGCTTTGTTGGAGATGGTTTTACACGAAAACCACCGAAATATGAAAGATTCATCAGACCAATGGTAAGGGATTTTTGAGTGGAGTGCCTTAAACGTTAGCACCTTTGCTAAACTATATGAAATTAATAGATGGCATTTTCTCAGAATTTCTTAAAATTAAGAGATGACATTTTTATGTTCTGTTTATTGCTTTAGTAAGAGGGGTTACTTAATACTTTTTCCACTAAGCTCAGGAAACTTGTCTTGATCTTCCTAAGAGACTCAAGATGAAAAAGGATTAATGAATTAGTGAATCGTAACTTTTAAACCTGGCATCAGAATTTTCATTTTCTGCACAAGTTTAATACTTTATCATTCAACACATGAGAGTGTTCTGCGCACCTCACATTGTATGAGACCTCAAACAGGTATCTGAGGGAATCCAGACACTAAGTAGAACTGTTTTCTCCAAATGTGTTCAGGTTTACTAAAGGATATTTATAGTTGTGAAAACATTCACCATGCAATCATGAGGTTAAAAAGAAAGGAAATTTCATATAAAAATCAGAATCTAATTTTAATTGACAGCAATGTAAATAATACTCACTGAAAATTAGTTGCTACTCCCACCCCTCCAAATGCATTTAAAAATAACCCATTTTTCCAGAGTCCCTCTAAAATGATTGACTTACTCTCCCAATACACATCCATCCTGATTAGAAAAATAAGCAAAGTAGACACTGTTAATTTAATGTTCAACCCAAGTAATTTTTAATGATCTATAAAATATTTGTGTAAATGATGTTTTGTGGGAACTCACCATATCCATTCTTATACACAAGCCTATGGTTATTTTCTTACAAAACCATAAGTTGCCACACACACTGTAAGGCTTATGAAATATTAAAAATTTTTAGAAGATATTTGTCCCTGAATTATGTCATGTACATCCTGTTTTCTTTTTTTTTTGTACGTATCATTTTCTCAATACATTTTAGTAGCTTTACAGATTCTGCAGAGACAAAACATGCTAGTCAAGCTGCTTTAGGTTTGCTGTAACTGGGAAGATGTTTCGTTTAATTAAATCAGATGCATCTTGAATGGTGTGTTTCTTAGAAACTTGACTACTGAGTTCCATACTAAGCTGATTGAAGACATCCCTTCCTTACAGAAAAGAGTCCATTCGTCGTAGTGGTTTAAGAGTTGGGCTACTAACCGAAAGGTCAACAGTTTGAACACATCGATTACTCTGGGAGAAAGATGAGGCAGTTTGCTTATGTTAAAATCTATAACCTTGGAAACCCAGTAGGGCAGCTCTGCTCTATCCTATAGTGCTGATAGGAGCCAGAATTGACTCCAGGGCAGTAGTTTGGGTCCTATAGAGAGGAAGAAACCAAATGTAAGAGATTACAAGGTATTGTGGGATTTTTTTTAAAGTACTGTACCACTACCACCCCGCCAAAGACGACCTATATCTAGAGGACTAGTCTTATTTAGAGGTAACCTCCAGACCTCTTGGGGCTCTGCAGTCTTTGATCTATATTCCTAGAGATGGAAAGATGACTGCTTTGCCTTTTTGTCAGCTGAAATACTGCAAGACTTGGGATCAGAACACAGGTGTGTATGGTTTTTCCTTTGGTACCAGAGAAACCTTTTCAATAATGTAAAAAGCTGTTTGTATAGCAAGTGAATATGATCAAGATTTGATCAAGTGAAGATTTGCTGAGTAGGGATTAGCCTAGTCATTCCAGAATGAGGGCACATTAACATTAAAGCAGGGCATCAAAGATGACAGCACTCCGTTCCGTGAGCCTGGCTTGCCACGCAGTCCTAACATTCTGATTTTACCTATCAGGTTTTTGAAAGGGATCACTACAGCTCTTTCAGGTCTCCATTCCAGAGCTACCATTGCAGTTACCATGGCATATCACCTAATTTTATAAATTTCAGTCAGCTGTGACCATGTGAAACCCTGCATTAAAGATAAGTAGGAACTCTCACACACTTGTAACCAAGAGACCACTCATCAGATTTTCAATCTGGAGAACTAATTCTAAGTATTTTTGTGTGGTACCTTAAGATGGGACATTATTTAAAACCAAAATATGGCATTTACAAGTGGTAATCGCACTCTGCCTGAGGTTAACATTTTGGACACATTCTTGTGTTTTACTTCCTCTTGTGTTTTACTTCCTAGGGCTTACGGTTTAAGAAGGCACATGTAACACATCCTGAACTTAAAGCCACATTTTGCCTGCCAATACTTGGTGTAAAAAAGAATCCTTCATCCCCACTGTATACAACTTTAGGTGTTATTACCAAAGGTACCGTCATTGAGGTGAACGTGAGTGAGATAGGCCTTGTGACACAAGGAGGCAAGGTTATTTGGGGTAAGTAAATGTTTCATTGTCGAATTGCTGCTGTTTCAAATTGACATTTTAAGCTGTTTTTCATTTAAAGAAGATAAACTATATGGGTTAAAAATAGATTTAATATCTTTTTTAATAGACAAAACAATTCAGTTCTTTTTTGACCTAGTGGTTCCAGTTACAAGATGTCACTGTATTGTTATTTTTTGTTATGTGCTGTCAACTCGCTTGCGACTCATAGCAACCGTATGTATAGTAGCCCTGAAACCTGCTCTGTCCTGTGCCACCTTTACTGTCTCTGACACACCTACACTCATTACCCCAGTCACTGAATCAATCCATCTCATTGATGGTCTCCCTCTTTCTCTGTCCCTCCACCCTTCCAAGCATGATGTCCCTCTCCAAGGACTGGTCCCTACTTTCAGCATACCCAGAATATGTCAGATGAAGCTTCAGAATCTTTGCCTCCAAGGAGCAACCTAGTCACCCTCTAGGACAAACCTGTTTGTATTCTATTAGTCTTTTTAAGGGGGGGGACGTATGCTGGGCTTAGAAGCCCAAGACAGTAGTTAAGTTATGGAGACTTCAGGGTCAGCTGGCCTAAAAGTTCAAAGACAATATTCTACCCTCATGTTTGGTGAATAGTGAGTATAAGGGAGTTGTTGGGTGTTGGTTTTTTTTTTTTTTTGGTGGGGGGTACCGTTGTGTTGGATCTGACTGGCACAGGAGGCCATTGTCCTACTTTCAGCAGAGCATCTGGTGGATTCAGACCGCATGCCTTGATTGCAGCGTAGCTTGCCACAAGGCCACCAGAACTCCCCCAAAAAAGCTTGCAAGCAACCATCTAAAGTGCAACTGTTAGTTTTGTCCCATTTGGTGCAAAGAAGAGTGAAGATAATCAAAGACTGTGAGTTCAAAGGATCATATGAACTTGTTTCATGACCCTTGGATGCTACACCTGACAACTTTGAAAGGATCAAAATAAAAGCTTCCTGATAGAGTAGAAGAAAACTCAGAATGCTAAAACCAGAGTTAGGGGTCTGCGAGTCTAACCAAAGAGACTATAACCCTTAGTCACCTTTGGAGTCTGGAAATCAATCACTGATGACTATGCTTCCAACCAAATAAAAAGTTGTATAAGGTGCATATCAAGGAAAAATTCTTACCACAGGATCGACAGGCAACATCATGGCTGATAAAAGATTTAAACTGTCAGCAGATGCATCTTATTGGTACTAGCAGTCAAGAGATCAGGAGATGTATTGCATTAGGAAAGTCTGCAGTCTGGAACCTCTTCAAATTACTGAGAAGCAGTGAGGTCAGTTTGAGGACGAAGGTGCACCTGATTCAGGCCATGGGCTTTTCAGTCCCATCTTATGTATCTGTCTGAGAGCTGAATAGTGAAAAAAGGATGATTAATTGATGCCTTTTAATTGTGTTGGATAAGAGCACTGATTATTATGTTTATTGCCGAAAGAACAAGTGGCTAGATATCTTGGGGAAAGTGTTACATCTTGGAGTGTTCCTTAGAGGCAAAGATGATAAAGTTTCACTTTGCATACTTTGGGCATGTTGTTAGGAGAGGCTTTCCCGTTGAGAGGGCAGGCAGGCTTGGAAAGGTCGAGAGGTCTAGTGAAGGAGTGAAGACCCTCAGTGAGATGGATTGACACGGTGACTGTAACAGTGGGCTTGACTGTGTCAAAGATGATGAGGTGGCACAGGATAAGACAGCATTCAGATCTCTTGTTCATTGAGCCACTGTGAGTCATAATCCACAGCACAGATACCTGGTGGTATCGGGGAGATACTCATTCCTTAGAACAGCCTGCCATACACAATCCAAAGGGATGGATTTGCCCAAGGGTAAAGTGCAGAAAGCAGGAAAAGAGGGAAAAAAATGAGGGGAGCATAGGGAGGAAATGAGAGTGTAATCAGTGTCATGTAACAAAACGTATGATAAAATTTTTTATGCCATTATGAGGGAAGTACACACAGGATGACTAAAACTTAGACTACAATTAATAATTGGAAGGGAGGTGTATGTCAAACACATAATTGCATTATTTCAGAATCATTAAAACGAAAGTTATGTTATGCCAGTTGTTTCTTTGCTCATTGCTTTTAGTGTGCATAGTATAGTCTAACAATTAGAATAGACTATGGCGGAGCGGTGGCTAAGGGATTGGTTACTAAACAGCAGCTTTCTGCTCAAACCCACCAGCCACTCCACAGATAGAGGTGGCAGTCTAGTTGGCAACACTAAGGAGTTCCGTCCACTCTTATTCTATAGGGTTGTTACAGTGTTTGAGTTGTCTTTGGAATCCTGTGTTGGCTCATAGTTCATGTTAGCTGATCTCAGTTAAATTGCTTTGAAAGTAATTTTAAGCCATGTGTTTTCCATTAAGAATCTTATGGGAAAGTAATATTGCTAGATCAACCCACAGATTATGTGTTCGTAGACCTGACCACCATCTGTAAAAAATATTTATAAAAATTGTATTTAAAACTCAAGCTTGGACCGCATTTTGTGAAATCCAATTTTTCCTCTTAATAGTTCATCTTTTATCTCTTAAATGTGGGTCACTAGAAATATTTTGGGCAGTGAATGTATTATTAAAATTCATTTTCATCACCTAACATTCATTCTTTTCTGCTTTGTTTTCTATAGGGAAATATGCCCAGGTTACCAACAATCCTGAAAATGATGGCTGCATAAATGCTGTCTTACTGGTCTAATAGCACTTTGACAACTGATACAAACC